GACTCCAGAGCAGTTGGTAGTGGTAGTCAAACTGACATCTTCACCACATTCATAGTTTTGTTTACAGGAAAAGTAAACACACACACATATATATATGTCACTCTTCACCCCCCCACCCATGTATCTACCTACAGAATATTGTTTTTCCAAAGTAGTGTACCTCTGTCCCCTTTATCCCTGTATAACTCCCTGTGTCTTCACCTGCCTTCACCATTCTTCTGCCAACCTCCCCCTTCTTGTATATTGCTCTCCCTGTCACCCAAGTTAACATGTGTCTACCCTAACCAGGGAATTACTGTCTCTTTCCCTTCCACCCTTGATAGCTATCAAAGAATGTTTTAGTATGAAAACCTTTTCTTGAGTATTTACAATAGTGGTCTCATACAGTATCCTTTTGCGACTTATTTCACTAAGCACAATGTCCTTCAGGTTCATACATGTCATGAGATGTTTTGAAGATCCATCGTTATTCTTCAACATTACATAATCTTCCATTGTTGTATGTGCCAAGGTTTGTTTATCCATTCTTCCATTGAAGGGTATTCATGCTATCTCCATTTTTTTGCTCTTGTGAATAGTGCTGTGATGAACATCAGTCTGCATATATCTACTCATGTCTTGGCTCTTATTTCTTGTGGATATATACCAAGTAGAGAGATTGCTGGGTCATATGGCATTTCTATTTCCATCATTCTATGGAAGTGCCATAATATTTTCCATAGTGGTTGAACCATTTTACAGTCCCGCCAGCAATGTAGAAGGGTCCCAGTCTCTCCACACCTGCATGAGACATTCTTATACTAAAAATATTGTTTATTGTTTTTCTGAAATTCAACTTTAACTGAGCATCCTGTATTTTTATTTGCTAAAACTGGCAACCCTACACATAAAACTCCCTCTCACTCCCAACTAGGGCTTGTCCTTGTTCTTGTTATGCGCCATTGAGTTGGTTCTGACTCAGAGACGCTGTATAGGGTTTCTGAGGAGCATCTGGTGATCTTGAGCAGCTGACCTTACAGTTTAAACTGACTTTACAGTCCAGTGCATTAACCCACTATGCCATACCAGGAAATCAGTTAGGAGGAATTGATCCAGGGCTTTGTCTTGTGTTGAGGTTCAAGTGAGAAATTCATACTGATAATCTCCTCGGTCATGGCATCAGCACAGCTCAGGAGAAATTCTGAGATGCCCTAACTGTTTTGGTGGCTCCATCAGCCCCTTTGTGGATGGAGCTCATGGTAAAACCAAAATCAAATAGGTTGTTATCAACAATTTGACTCACTGTGACCTTTTGGTTAGCAGATGAGCGCATTAACAGTTTGTTCCCCAGAGGCTCCTGGATGATTTCCACATTCCATTGAGTCACTTTTCTTTGGAATGGGCACTGATTTGGCAGTGGCAAAGATTTGGCTGTAGCAAAAATTCTTTACTTTCATCATCTTTATCTTTAGACTTTGCTTTGTAAATTTGAATAATAGTAGTATTAACTGGTCTTCCTTGTAGGCAGATGGGTTTTGTCCTATTACAGACATCATTGCACTTCAAGGTCAATTTTGAAATGCTCATTTTGATGATGAATGAAATACTATTCTTCTTCAATTTTTTTTCCTGGCCTAGTAAACCATATGATTGTTCCATCCATGCATTAAAGTCAACACTACTTTTAAGAGGCAGCTCTTCCACCGTCATATTTTGAGTGCCTCCCCAGCCTGAGGGGCTCATCTTCCAGCACTATATCTGACAGTATTCTGGTGCTCTTCATCATGTTTCAGTATTCAGTATTCTGCTGCTGTATGACAGTGCCCCACTGGTATTCACACGGTTTTCAGTGTCTAAGCATTCAGAATTAGTCTGCCTCACCTTCTTCCTGGCTTAGACTGGAAGCTCAGCTAAAATTTGTCCACCATAGGTGTACCGTGCTGTTATTTAAAATATTTATGGCATTGTTTCCAGCATCACAGTAACACACAAGCCACAACACTGATGAGTGGTGGACTATTCAGATAGGATCATTTTATTTATCTTCAACAGAATCTCTCAAGGAGGGAGATAGGTTTTCCCTGAATGTTGTTAAAACAATTCTTTTGAAAACCTAGTCATCATCACTGACTCCCTGCTTTCAACATTGTCCTTCCTCAGTCAGTGGCTTCCCATTCCCAAACCTCAAGCGTTCTTGCAGGTTTTGCGTGATGAGATTCTTGCCTAACTTGCCAGTGTCTGCTCTGATCCTCTCATCTTTACTCAGCTTTCTCTCAGTTTCTGTACTGTGATAAACACTCACCCACCCCAACATATTTGCCAGAAGCATTCACTCTATGCTTCCAGAACTCTTCCTCCTCTTCCATGGTTAGCTTAAACATCAAGTTTTTCCTGACCCCTCCAACTAGGTTTAGTCTTTTACTTATAGCATCACACAGTACTCTGCATTTGTCTTTCATATCACCTTAATTACAGTTGTAGTTAGGTGTCATCAAACTGGTTCTGACTCATAGCAACACTTTATAGGATTTCTGAGGAGAGGCTGGTGGGTTTGAACTGCTGAACCTGTGGTTAGCAGTCTAGTGCTTATCATAATTAGGACTCCTAATTACAGTTATATGGTTTAAAACTGAGCAGTTCTTCTTTCTGTTGCACATGGGGTTGCTACGAGTCAGAACCAACTTAAGGGCCCCTAACCACAATAATTTTTCTTAAAGCTTGAATTAGTTATTAATTTGTTTCTCCTTATGCCTCATCAGGACAGGGACCGTGGGTCCCATTCACTGCTATACCCCAGTGCCTGATATTTACTTTGCACATGGTAAACACTCAAGCACTTTCCTTTTTTTCCAGTTTCGTATTGGTATTTTATTTAATTAAAAAAAAAAAAAGACTTTATTGTGAATTGTGTGAAGGTTTAGAGAGGGAATCCATTTTCCATTCAGTAAGTCATGTATATTTTGTCTCATTTCATTGATTGCAGTCCCCACAATATAACATCACTCATCCCACTTTTCTCCTGAATTTTCTGATTTTCCTTCTTTACTAACCCTTCAGGCCTTCTGTACTTTGTTCTGGGAAAATGCTGCCCTTTTGATCTCAAATGAATGATTGTTCTAGGAGTGTATACCTCCTTATAGTTATCGTTTACAATATAGACTTTGTATACCTCCCTATATTTATAGTTTATGATATAGATCTGTCTATGTGGGACATGGGGGAGAGTTCAGTTCCAGCCAGAATGGTAATGAAGAGTTATAGTCTTGAGTGTTCCACTGTCTCTATTTGACAGTAAGCCTGATCTTTTTTTTTATGATTTTGAGTTTTGTTCTACATTTTTTCCCACTCCATCAAGGACCTTAGGACACCTCTTCCATAGCAATTGGTGGTGGTAGCCAGGCATCCGTTAGTTCTTCTCTTCACAGGGTCACGAAGGTTGAGAATATCATGGTCATCAGTCCACTGGACAAATTATTTCCATGTAGCTTTCATTTTTTTCAGTCTTTGCTTCAGATGGGGAGAGACCAATAACTGCACCTTAGATGGCTGCTCACAACCTTTTAAGATCCCAACTGCTACTCACCAAAGTAGGATATAGAACATTTTCTTTGTAAATTGTTGTGCCACTGGACCTTGATGTCCCCTGAGACTACAGTCTTGAGTCCCCAAGCCCAGTGACTTATTCCCTCAAGTCCATGGCTAAGAATTTTTCATAACTTTACTCCATATGCTCTACTTCAAGTACTTGTTGAATGAGTGCATTATTGGTGTAAATTTCAATCTTTACTGTGGTAATGACTACACTTATTCATTCTTTTAAAATCATACATTAAAACACCTTCTTGTCTAATATGCAACATTAGTTTCTCCTCAACATATGGAAGAAAGAAAAGGGGAGAAAATTAAAGATGCTTGGATTCAACTAGTTCAATGGACCAGTGGAGCAAGCAAACAATAATCACCATGACTCTGAGACCAGAAGAACTAGATGGTGCCCAGCTACTGCTACCAACTTCTCTGAAAGGGATCACATTAGAAGGTCTTGGATAGAACTCTGGATAAAGTGGTAGAAAATGCAGACCCAAATGTAAAATTATTTAAAAAAACCCCACAAAAAACGAAAAAACAAACAACTGCACTTACTGGTCAGAAACAGACTGGGATGGCCCTTGACTACCCTTCAGATTTAGAACAAAACTCAGCCTAGTGGCCCAATTTTCAGCAAATCAGAATAGATATATAGAGGGAACACAATAGTATTCAGGTATGCTCACCATGGAATAGCCAATCATTCAAGATCAAAAGGACAACATTTACCTATGAACAAAGTTGGGAAGAAATGGGAAGGATTGTGGCATGGAACCACAAGGAGAAAGTGGGATAATTGTTGTTGCATGGAGGGGATTGCAAAATGTATGATTTGTTGAATGTAAAACTGTTGATCTTGCCTGTAAACCTTAACTCAATTCACAATAAAAATTAAAAACAAAACAAAACAAAAAATATCTTCCCAATCCCTAAAGTTGAGTTTCAGAAGCTTTCAAAGGAGCTTACTATATCCAGTAGTTGGAATAAAACATACAAATGGGTGCCATTTGTCACTTTGTTTCAAGTTCCTCAAAGTAAGACATTAGAAAACACTCTTATTATTAAAAAATTGACTTCATAAATCACTTGGATTTTATTAGTAGCCATTTGGGGATAATGTAAGTTAGAATATCTTGAAATTAAAACATACATAAAAAAGGGAAATTTCCTGGTCTATCCTTCTGTGACTGTATACCAAACATTCTGTGTTATATTTTAAGAGGTAAATCGAGCAAGTTGTTGTGTATACAGGGGAGAGTGACCAAATCAATGGAAGGAGGGAAGAAGGGAGCCAAAGTCACTTTAAGAGATGGTGTTTCATAGCTTTTACTTGGACTGTGTTACATTCAAAGTTTCAACAATCTTTAAAAATGGTCACATAGCACAAGAGTGCAACTATGCCTCCGGCCCACTTCTACTCCCTTGTAGGATAACTCATTTCCATTTGAGTTATGGGTGTCTGAACAATGACTGTCATTTATAAATGAGAACTATTGGATTTCAGAATCTAAACTTACTGATAGTACAGAAGAGCTTCACTGGCAGGCAGTTTGACTTCTTTTGGCGGCCCATCTTGGATATCTTTTTTATTTAGTTTTGCTGTGTTTTCCATTGTGCTCATCAGCTATTAAGAAATATACCTGTTTAGAAAAGAGACAAAAAAAAGTAGATAAATTGATCTTTGCCTCCTACTTGTGTTTATTCTAGATAAGGTATGCCCCCACCCTAGGATTTCATTTTAAAATGAGTCTTCCATGACAGTTGCTTTAAAACCCGTAGACCTAGCATCCATCACAATGCTGGAGCATCATGAATCAATTGGAAACTGTTGTTGTTAAGTGCTCTCAAGTTGGTTCTGAGCATTTTTTTTTAAATGGGCATGTGTAGGTAGGAGTAAAGAATGAGGATTAGAGTTGGGACTATGACTAGGGTTTGGCTAGTCCTAGGACTTTATTTTTAGGATTATACGTAGAACTAAGGTTAGTGTTAGGGGCAAGGGTTGGGCTAGATTTTAGGGTTATAGTTAGGTTTATTTTTATTTATTTATTCTTGAAATCTATTTGATTTTCTCTTCATTTTAAGTTCTGTAACTGGATGATTCCTTCTTTTTATCTTATGATTTTTATTGTTGTTATTATCTCTGGTTCTCTCCATTCAGTCTTATAGGTCTGTTTTACTTTGCATCCTTCTATATGTGGGCTAGAAGGAGCTCTGGTAGCATAGTGGTTTCGAGTTGGGCTGCCAACCACAAGGTCAGCAGTTCGAAACTACCAGTGGTTCTGTGGGAGAAAGATGGAGCATTCTGCTCCCATAAAGATTTACAGCCTCGAGAACCCTGTGCAGGGTCATTATGAGTCAGAACCAACTCCACGGTACTTAACAACAACAACATATGTGGGATGGAGTCCTGGTGTGACATTGTGGGCTAATGTGCTGGACTGCAAAGTCAGTTTGAGTCACAAGGTGTTTCAAGCTCACCAGTTGCTCCTTGGAAACCCTATGCAGAGTCACTATGGGTCAGAACTGACTTGATGGCATGTAACTACTTACCTGGGATGAGTCTAGGTGACATTATCATGTATGTTAGTCTCAGGTTGTTGTCTGTTGTTGTTGGTTCTCTGTCCAAAGAACTTCCTGTAGTATTTTTTATAAGGTTGGTCTGGTGTTTACAAATTCTTTTCATTTATGTTGGCTGGAAATGACCTAATTTGAACATTATGTATGATGAACAGTTTTGTTGTATATGTGATTCTTGGTTATCAATTTTTTTTCTAAGTTTTATGTATATCGTTCCATTGTCTTCTTGCGTGCATGGTTTCTGCTGAGAAACCTTTTAGTTTTCCTTTTTTGGTACCTTTTCATTTTTCCTGAGCTGCTTTCAGGATTATTTACTTCTCTTTGGTTTTAAAAAGTTTGATTATAATATATCTTGGTTTTCTTTTGGGATCTATCTTGTTTAGAGTTTGTTCAGTTTCTTGCATGGCTATCATCTTGTCTTTCATGATGTTTGGGAAGTTTTCTTCCAACAACTCTTGGACAATATTTTCTATGATTTGGGGTTTTACTTTGTTTTTTGATAGTGTCCCACATAAATCTTAGGCTTTCTTCAGATTTTTCTGTTCTTTTTCTGATTGTTCCTCTGTTAAGAGTGTTGTCAAGTTGACTTCAGCCCATAGTGACCCCGTACAGGGTTTCCACGGTGTGGCTGGTGGGTTTGAACTGTCAACCTTGGGGTTGACAGTCCAGTGCTTATCCTATCCTATAGCATTACACAGGACTCTAGCAGATGATTAGTGATTTTTCTACAAACTCAGTAATTTGGCTTTCCATGGATTCAATTCTATCTCTTTGTCCTTTTAGTGTATTACCTATTTCTGAAATCTTAGTGTTTACCATCTAGCTTTCTAATGGCTGATTCTGTATGGTTCCCATTTTTTCAGTTTGTTTCTTGAATTTTCCCATGGTTTTGTCAGTGCTTTCCTGTAATTTTCTGATTTTTCTCTCAATCCATTGAAGTTGCTTAATTAGCATTCTTTTAAATGCCTCTCAGATAGTTCTGATACCATTTCTGATGTTATATTTCCTGACTCTGTATTTTGGTGACTTGTTTGATGTACTCTGCCTTGTTTCTTTGTGCAAGCTGAAACTGTCCATTTTCTCCAAAACAATACAATCATTTGATGAATGTACATTGGTGTTCTCAGGCACTCACCATCTGTGTCTCCTGGTGGATGTGGTAGAGATCAGAAGTGTGAACGCAGTTAGTTCTGTTCAATGTTTGTGAATCATAGTTTAGGGTAGGTTCATGCACCTCCTGAAGTGGGGGCACTATGCCCAGTGTCTGGCCCCAGGCAGGGCAGAGGCTACATTGCGGGTGTGTGCCATTGACTGCTGGGTTGGCGAGGGATGGGACTGGCTATATCCTCATCTTGCTGGAAGGCATGGGAACAAGGGAGAACTGCATGCCCTTGTCACCAGTAAACAGGTGAGTCCTCTGCCCGCAGGCTGCTGTATTGACAGCTGCTCACAAAAGCTCAAAATGACTACGCTGGTCTTCTCCAAGGTACAATCCACCAATTTTTCTTCTCTCTCACAGCTCCTGTTCAACTTGTTGTTATTGTCAGGTGCCATC